TTGTTTTAAATTAATATATAAACTATATAAACGAAGAATAAAGATTTATTATTGGTCCTTCATTTGTTATTTTTTTATAACTACAAAAATACTTTTCTTGGTTACTTGAAATTTTTAAAGTTTAGTATTAAATTTAATTTCAAATTAGACTTATATAGAAAATTGGGTTTAAAGTGATGAGACGCATTTGAAGTACCTAGTGTTTATGTATTCACCATACGGTGAATTCAGTACGTGACGTATTTATTACTTAGAACTTGTTTTTATATTTTATACACACAATGACATTTGTAAATTTAATTTTTTCGGCAAAAATTAATTTAACCTACTGCATTATTCACGAGTAATAACTAATATCTAATAAATATTAAAATAAATTACTTTATTTAAAAAAATAATTGCATAAAAATATACTTAGGTACTATAAGTACTTAATCATTTCAGCTGATTCCGTCGTTCTATATAGAATGGTTTTTGTATAAAATGATTTTATATTATTTAATTTATATTTAATACATCCATTACAGTWACCCTTTCTGAACCTTCTAGACGCCGACTGTATAGCACAGTGTGAACCACTTGCTTAACTTTTTCATCCATAGTATTTAATATTTAATAATTGATATATAATGCCAATTTTATTATAATGGTATACACCGTGGGTAACATTGAATGAAGTAAACAACTTTATGAAAATTTGGATTTAGATACTCTTCAGTATTTGTATATTTTACATTAATTAATGGTTTAAGGTTAAATATGATATATTGTATAATATTAAAATATAATATTATAAATATTAATAGATAGATAGATAAATTTAATAAATGCATAAATATTTAAAAATAGTTGTAACTTACCTATATATACGTCAATAATATTTTAAGAAAACTTGTAAATAGTTATCAAAGTATAACTGAATAAGATTGATGAGTTAAAGTTTTACGAAATTATTCCTTTTATTTTACTAATTTATTTCCTTTTATGAAGTCCAAGTCTGGGGTTCTATATAATAAAATATAATATACTGTTGTACGTAAATAGAAACAATTTTATTAATGATCCCTATAATTTTATATAGTAATAGTGCGTTTAATATTTTGAAATAAACGAAAAATTAACAATGCACAGGTTGATTAACTATTATCTTCTAACGTTCAAATTGAATTGAAAAATAATTATATTTTGTATAATTAGTACCTATATAGGTACTGCTTTTAGCAATAATTTTATTATTATTGTATAATTTAATAATCTTATGGACTTTGGACTAAAATGTTGTTTAAATTTAACGCAAAAATTACAAAATTTGTAACTTATTGTTTACTTATTGTTTTTGTCTTGATTTATAATTTGTATTCTTATTTGATAGTTTTTATTTTTAATTATAAAACAACAATAATGTGTATATAGTACTTACCTATACATATGCTATTAGTTATTATCATTTATACTTTGTTCTAAATAATTTTCATGAAAACTGAATAACAATGTAAATTACAATTAACAGTCTCGTTGTATCTGTCATTCTGTTTTCAAAATAATTAAATATTTTAATTTATAAATAGTTTATTAAAAAAAAAAAAAACAAAAATAAATTCCTTAATGGATATTATATACAAGGCATAACAAATAGAATTGACTTTTGGAATAACTTTTGTTAAAATTAATATTTTTTTTTTTTTTTGTTCCTTAAGTGGCCTAGCGCCATTTTATGTCTTTAACGACACCCTCTACTCTGGTCTCAAAATGCAGTTTGTCTCTGTAATAGCAAAAACTTACTACAAATGTTTCAATAGCCGCCTAGCACATTATAAGAATCCCCTAATATCCAAACATTCATCTGCTTCTATATGCCAGGCAAMGTGATTAAAAGACTTAAAAGACAGCGGTGTCGTGATCTGCTAGCCTAACAAAATTCTTTAGTATGTCGCAGTACCTCCGCTGGGAGGCTTCTGCAGTCTGTCTAATCTGTATTTTTATTTATTTCAGCTTTACCATCAATTGTTCTTATTATTCTTTTTTTTTTTTTTTGAAACAGATTGAATAAAAAACTTATTTAACACAAAAAAAAATGTATTAAAAATTGTTTGGATAAATTCAAAATAGCCTATTTGTGAATCTGATTTTAAGAACAATTTTTATGTTAAAAATATTTATCTAAGTCAAGAAGTTTATGTTCTAGAATTTTTTTTAAAATTCAATATATTTTTTGGGTAAATTAATTTTAAACGTAATAACCTTTTAAAAAATAGGATTTTTGAGAATTTTCTGACATTATAAGTATATTTCTTTAATTCTTTACTTATCATATAATGTTAAACAAAATTTTTCATACGTTTAAATAGTAATTTTTTTTTTTTATGATAGATCTTTCTGTTACACTTAGTATACTTTTAAATTTCAATGCTTTCACTGTCATGAAGCGCTGTCCTGTGAATAAAGTAAACTTTTTTTAGTTATTTGTTATCACTATGTTTTATTTGTGTCAACTATAGTTTATTTCTATTAGTCACATTTGTAATTTTTTAAATTTTAAATTTAAAAAAACTTAAGAACATCAACATAATTTACTTGCCCCCCGCAACAAGTTTGGATTGACTGGTTTGAAGTATCAATAATATTTCCAGTGATATGAATATGCTATAGGTTATTCCGTTCGATCCTCTATCCTTGTCTTAATTGTAAAGAAAATCAATGATAGTTTTTTTTATATGGAGGGCTGGTCGCGCGCCTACCTTCTTCTGATTCAGGGTCAGTTTCGTATTTATGGTGCCATTATCATATTTTGATGACTTACAGTTATTAATATTAAACGTATTTGAATACTACTATCCAATAAGTTTATATTATTTTACACTACTACTTATAATATTATGCGTATTTCATACTAATATAACTTATACCATACACATAAGGATATAATAAGTGGTATGGATTTTTACTGTATTATAATTTTGCAGTCGTGGTACAATTTTTAAAAAAGGCGTGAAGAGCTTAATGAGAATGGGCAAACAGAAACTCCCGCAAGATAAGGAGGCATTGGTGGACAGTGACGACAGTGCACAAATGACTGCAATCCCTCATCAACGGGGTCACATGACGGAGACAAGTGACCTATCTTCTGACAACGAATCTATCAATTCTCTCAATGTCGAATACTCACCAAAGCCTAAAAAGTAAATTGCCATAAGAAACGTGGTGTGGTTTTTTTTTAAATGAAAACTAATGTTTTCTTTTATTTATACAATTTTTTTCAGACCATTGAAACATAAAGATCAATTAAATGCAACCCAAAATGCACTTAAATCTCAAGACTTTCAAGTATGTGTAACCATCATTGAGGCAAGACAACTAGCAGGTCTGAATATGGACCCTGTTGTATGCGTACAAGTTGGCGAAGTAAAGAAATATACGAGTGTGAAGGAAAGCACAAACTGTCCTTACTACAATGAAGTAAATATCATTAGTTTTATACTACTTAGTATATAACGTACAATTAGAATGCCATAATATTTTCATGACATGGCCATTAAACTTTCTAATACTCTCAAAGTATTATTTTCATATAATATAATGTTACAGGCATAGAGTTTGAAGTGATGGTTAGTTATCAATCATTAATTTTTAAGTCAATGAGTTTTTGGCAATCATTTATTTGATATTAATACAATGAGTGACACGGTTGACATATATTATTACTATAATATTAGGTTTTATTTAGGCAAACTTGTGTTCCAATAAACTTTAATGAATACAAGCTAAAACATTTGTATAGGTTGTTTCCTTTCAACATCCAGTTAACCAATCGGTGTGTTTTTCATAAATAAATGTTTTTTGTAGGTCACAACTTAAAGTGTTTAAATGTCATCGTATCGTGTCTATTCAATTGATACTTGTATGATTTGTTTGAAATATTTCCATTCGCTTTGTTGAATTTATACTTTATAGAAAAT